TTTTTTTAATATATATCTTTATTGATTTCAGAGAGAGGAAAGGAGAGGGAGAGAGAGAGATAGAAACATCAATGATGAGAGAGTCATTGACCGAGCCCTCAACCCGGGCATGTGCCCTGACTGGGAATCGAACCCCGATCACCTGGATCCTAGGTCGACGCTCAACCACTGAGCCACACCCGGCCGGGCTCCAGATCATCTTTATGCTATTGTTTTATAAACACTCTTACTCCCAGCCCTCTCCTTTCTGCACCAGAAATAAAACCTTTTGTTTTTCTTCAGCTTTCATTTCCCCCATGCTCTACTACAGAAATTCCTCTCCAGCTGTTCCATACTCCTGAGCTCCCTTTTTTCTTCCTTTCCCTCATTTCCCCGCTTTTGCTAATAGTAGTCAAAGCATTTCATATATAATGGATCACAACAGAATTTGGGGTTGAGGAGGGGCCTCTGTACTTAGCTTCTAAGAGTAAGTTTAAGCCTGATCCAGTTTGCTCAGTGGTTAGAGCAGGCACGATCCCCTGCCCTGGTGGGGGTGCATGTGGGAGGCAACCGATTGATGTGTCTCTCTCACATAGATGTTTCCCTCTCTCTCCCTCTCTCCCTCCCCACTCTCTCTGAAAAGCAATGGAGAAAATATCCTTGGGAGAGGATTAAAAAAAAGAGTAAGTTTAAGTTCTAAATTAAGGGGTGCTTTCCCCCACGGTTGCCTTGAGTTCTGTCATATCACCTCAGCCCTCCTTAGTGTTTCTCTGTCTGAATTCACGTGGCCCTGATTTTTAATTTAGCGTGTGCTAAATGAAAGTCCCTGAAGGTTGCACCACATCTTCTGTCAGTTCTCGGTGCCTGCCTTAGCTCTTTGCTTAAGGGAGCTACTCAGACATGTTCTGCTCATGCTGTCCATCAGAAGCTATCTTTTACCTTTCAGGCTCTCTATTTTTTGGGGACACTGCAGGTATCCCCCAAAAATGTGTACACACTTTAACAGCTGAGAGCTCAATTTTGAAAATGAAATGTATTTTAATAAACACTGACTTTATTCAAAGTTTGTATATACATTTTTGGGGATACTCTATATATGTACAGATAATAGTTGTTCATCTTTCCTGTAGGACTCATTTGTTAGATGTGTAAAGCAATTCATGTTTTACTCCAAATTCAAGTGGCCCATTTTTTAAAATAATTTTTTAATGTTTTTATTGATTTTAGAGAGAGAAGAAGGGAGGGAGGGAGAGGGAGAAGCATCGATCGGTTGCCTCCCAAATGCACCCCTACCGGGGATGAGAACCCGCAACCTAGGTTTGTGCCCTGACCAGAAGTCAAGTCGGCAACTTTTTAGTGCACAGGACGATACCACGGGCCAGGGCTCAAGTGGCCTGTTTTAAAACTACTACTGAAGGTTTAAACATTTAATATTGGTCGAGCTGTATTAACTGAGCACCATCTTTCACTTATTTAATAGATATTTGAACCTCTGCTTCTCTGTGAGAGATGCAGATATGTACCAGATTGGAATCCTGGTCCCAAAGCCCCTAAATCTAGTGGGTAGATAAGATTGCTTTACAATCCCAAGTGTTGGAGTGATAGAGAGTTGGACAGAGTGCTTTGGGATTTGGGGGGAGCAGTTACTAACTACGGAACTTGCACTGCCCTCTGTAAGGAATCAGCCTGTGCTGGTGCCCTGTGTGAGGAAAACCTTGCTTGCTTACGTGAGAGTTTAGCTTTCTGGCTTTGGATCTGTATACAGTACCTGGGCCATAGAAAGTTTAGAAGTAGTGGTTGAATGATCACATTATACCCTACTATAGTATATATCACATAAAAAGTGAGGCATGTGGACAATCCTCTATGGAATTGGAGGTGAGGAGATTTCTCTAGACTGATGCAGATGGGAGTGAGAGATTCTAAACTGAGTTCAGGCAGCTGAGAGGAGGTGAGACAGACTTTGGGCCATAGGAATGAATGGGATTGGCCAGTAATGGGGAGGGCATGTGGAGGGACAGCTTGAATAAAGGCAGAGAGCTGGGAATGTGTGTAACACGTACAGAAGTGAGCTGCTGGGTAGGGGGCAGTGAGTCACGAAGTGCTGCGGGCTGGGCTCATGAGGGCTGTGGGTCTCATGAAAAACAGCTGGGACTTTCTCTTGGCTAATGGGAGCCACCGAAAGTGTTTCCTAGGCAGTCACATGGCAGAGCAGTTGTTATGTCACAGATCCCCAAGCTCAGAAGCATTCCAACAAACCTCCTCCTCTCCTTCTCTGTTACATTCACCCTTTTTTCCTGTTTCACCATTTTTCCATTTTTGCCCCAGCTGAGTCTTTCCTTCTTTCTCCATGGTCTTGGGCTGGCTCTAGAATAAGCAGATGTTTTAGAGACACAATTGTAAGTCTGTTTCAGGTGTTGTCTCTTGCCTAACCAGATTTGGTTTCCTGACCATTCTCCATGGAAAATGTAGGTGTAAGAAGAAATGTGACAAAATCCTAATGATAGAGCTATACCATGTGTGTAATTTTAATACCAAGTAACATGAGATAACAGAAACCCGCTCTCTTGGAATTTGGAGAGATTTCTCCCTAGTGGCATAGCAGAGGGCTAAACTCTCACATTAAACCATTGGCCAGCCCTGGCCAGTGTGGCTCAGTAGTTAGAGCGTGGGTCACAGGTTCAGTTCCTGGTCTAGGGCATGTACCTGGATTGCAAGCTCCATCCCTGGCCCAGTCAGGGCATGTGAGAGAGGCAACCAATCGATGTGTCTCTCTCACATCGATGTCTGTCTCTCTCATCCCCCCTCCCTCCCTCCCTCCCTCC